TCAACGGTTGCTAAATCGTCGTAATTTCCACACAAAAAATTCGAAAAATTAGTAACCCACCATAAGTGGCTAATACTTGTTCTTGAAGAAAAAAAAACAAGTACTCTATATATTTAGAAAACTAACTTTTTTTCTAGAGTATTTATACTGCCGCCGTGTAAATTTCACTAGCCTACCACCATGGAAACTTTTTCTAGAATATTGTTCACTTATGGTGGTAGGTTGGTACTTGTAATATTCAAGTATAAAAGATAGTGATGCATTCAAGAGACTTGGAGTTTAAGCCAGGAGCTACTAAGTTAATCAGATAAAAAATAATAATGCATCAAGTACCAATTTCTCTTTTTCTAAAGTTTCATTTTATTGCATCTAGAGTTTTTCTTTTTTTTCTATATGATTTTGTTATAACTTTTTTGAATTTTATGTTTTATTTTATTATTGAAAATAGTACATAATATACAGTATTTTATTTTCTATTGCAAACAGCAAAAAAGTTTTAAGATATTTATTATAAATAAAAATAGTTTTATCTTTAATTATTATGAATTTAAGAAGGAAAAGGAAAATATTCTTTGTACAAAAATCATAATCGAATATATAGTTTCCTTTAATATATATAAACTTGTCATAAATGGTTAACGAAATACTTTTGACCCAAAAAAAAAGTTGATGAATTACATTGTATTCTTCTTTTTCTGATTAAATACATTGCATTCTTTTTCACAGGAACGTTAGACATTCGAGGACAACTAATACATGCATGTACACAATCTATAAAAAAGGCAATATATCGTGTCTAGCAAAAAGTTTCATAACCATACTAGATATATAAATACTATAAACAATGTCATAGTAGCGATCACAAGATAAAATACAAGCTGTACAAACATTTAACAATGGGTGAGAACATACAAAGAGTGTGTGCGTCTATCTTGACAGTGATGGTTGTGATGCTATCACTTTCTGAAGATACGCAAGGTAATAATGATTTTGCAATGACTCCAATGTCAGAGAAAGGGTTGCTGCCAAATCCAATGTCTTGTGTGTCAGACGCAAGAAAAATTCCAGATTGTGTAGAAGCATTGAAACAAGGCAAATTGAAAGATATAAAAAAAGAATGTTGCATTATTCTACTCGGTCTTCCCGAAGATTGTTTTGGAATTTTATTTCCTATGCGTTTCTACTATCGTGTCGTACTTAAAATTACATGCAAATTAATAGGCATTTTTTAATCAAAATTTTTTTCAATCCTTAGATTTTTTTGATGTAACAGTAATTCATATTATTGATATTTATAATAAACCATTGTTCTTTTAGTGATTTTTAATCATTACCTAAATAATTGTGTTATAAGTACGAAGTAATATGTGTTGGCTATACTAACTAAAAATTATACTAGTGGTTGTGAGACCTTTTGTTGGGAGTGAGAAGATATATGGGTCTCCACCGGTAATTTGATTTTTGGTTGGGAGAGATCTTATATTCCAACGCGGAGATATATGGGTCTTCACGGGTAATTTCCCAGAGCTGTAATTAATTAATTTTTCGGAGTTTGGTATAAATCTTTTTTAAAGGTTATCATGTGTTTCGTTAACAAAATTTATTTCTTTCTTAGTATTTGTTAGTGGTATATTGATATGTAAAAGAAATTTGAATGAGTTTATTGAAATTATTTACTGGATCATGCAGGAAAATTATTTGTCGAATGACAGAGAATTTGATATAAACCCTTTTTAAAAGTTATCATGTGTTTCGTTAACAAAATTATCTCTTAGTGTTTGTTAATGGTATATTGATATTTTAAGCTACGACGTCCAAAGTATTGTAACATACTAACTACGATATAACTTTAGACTTTTATGCTAAAGAAAATCAACTTCACGAGTTTGGTGAATAGCAGAACGAAAAGTATAGTTAGAATTTTGATTTCTTGAATTTGGCAAGACCAATTCTCCTTGAAAAAGAAAATGATATAAATTGGTAGGACTGAGAACATACACATGTTATATATTTGGTGTTCGTATTCTACTCTAAGATTTTAGTAACTGGTTCGACTAATGTGTAATAGATTTTTCACTAGATACCTAAAATTTTATATATCTAAAATTTTCTATACTAAATACATAGGAGGATTCAATATTAGATATCTCATTATAGAAGTTGTCCCAAAAAAAAAAAAAAAAAAAAAAAAAAAAAGTATATCTCATGATAGCTTGGACCGGTAATACAGGTTTTAAGGGATATTGATGTTATATTGACGGTGGAAAGACACATATTTACTCGCAGATTTATGTTTCAAAATGATGTAGTAGGATTCATCATGTATATAGGAGTTCAAAATTTAAAAAGAATATCTGTTCACTACACATTAAATTATACCGACAGAGTGGTCTATTTTTTTTTTTTTAGAGTTCACAAAAAATATAATAAGAACTTGTTTAATTAGTTGTATACCTCGTACATTACTTTAAATTTTAAAGGGGATAGGTTAGCGACTACATCGGCAATATATAAGTTATTTAACTATTATACTTCCTGTTTGAATTTCTAAACCGTTTTAGTTATGAAAGATGTTGGTAAAAAATAGATTGGGTATTTTGATTGGTAATTTTTTTCATGCAAAATTTGATGTTATTTGATCAATATTTTAATTTTATTGGTCAATTTTTTTTGTTTCCTTTATGGTTTCTGACTGTTTAAGTTACAGAAACAAATCCTTGAGGTTTTCTAGTTACATACAAAGAAACACATCTAAGCTACAACCTATTTATTTTGAAATTCATATCATAATCAAATAAATTCGAACACACCTTATAAGGGTCCGTTCGTTTCATCATCTACCATTTCCATCCAAATGGTCCATTTAAATGTTCCATCCAAATGCTCCATCTGAATGTTGTTCGTTTTAATTTTTGGATGTTCATTTGGATGGAACATTTGAATGAATTTTTGTTTGTTTGTTTAATTTTTACAAATCTTTATCTCCATCTAGATGACTTTAACAAGAAAATGACTAAAATACCCATACTTTAATTTACTTATATTTTAAATTTTAATCTAAGCTATATTAATTTAATTATTACTCTAAAATATATATTCATTTAAATAATTTTTAAATTATTATTTTAACATATAAATTAAGTTTACGGTTTTGACGAAAAAAGATAATTTTACGATTTAGGCGGAAATCATAATTTTGAGATTTTTGGCGGGAAAACATAATTTTGCGATTTTTGGCGGGAAAATGTTATTTTGCGATTTTGGCGGAAAAACATGATTTTGCGATTTTGGTGAGAAAAAATGATTCCGCAATTTTGGCGGGAAAACATGATTTTGCGATTTTGGAGGGAAAATATGATTCCGCAATTTAGGCGGGAAAACATAATTCTTCAATTTTTTTTGGTTTTGGCGGAAAAACAGAATTCCGTAATTTTCCCGCCAAAATCGTGATTTTATAGTTTTGGCGGGAAAATATGATTTTGCAGTTTTAGCGAGAAAATATGATTTTGCAGTTTTGATGTATTCCATAATTTTCTATCAAAAATCACGATTTCACTTTTTGGCGGGAAAAAACACAATTCCGCGATTTTATGATTTTGACGAAAAATGATAATCATTGATTTCACGGTTTTTAGAGATTTTATTTGGTTCAAATATGTAAATTTTAGAATATAAAATGAAAAACTATTGAAAATAAACATTATTTGATTTATGATTATAAATGAGGGTATATTTGTCATTTGTTATTTTTGACTGAATCATCTCCATCCAAATGCTCCAATCATGTTCATCCAGATGAGTTTGACAAATTTGCCTAAAATTACAAACTCATTCAGATGATCCATCTAACTGATTCATCCAAATGATCTGTTAAATTGTAAAAAACGAACATCATTTTTCATCTCCATCCAGATGATCCATCTGAATGGAGAAACGAACAGGGCCTAATTTGTTTAAAATTAAGTAAATCCATTTAAATTGATAGATGCTTTAAAAATACATGAACTAATAAAACCCTCCTAATTTTTTTTATGTACTATATATACACATCCGTATCCCTGATCATAGGATGCTTCATTGTTCCTCCAAGGCCTATAGTTGACAAAAAAGTAAAACAAAGTACTGTAGAATTATTCTCAGTTATTAATATAATACAAGTATTAGTATTAGAGAAAGAATGATTCTTATAAATACCAAATGATTATTATAAATACTAGTGACATGTTCATAATTTGTAAATTAAATTAGATGAATAATTCTCTGTTCAACAAACTGAGATGTGGAGTCTTCTCCCTTCCCTACAACTTTTTTCAAAGTCGACCAAAAAATCAATGCTTCAAAGTCTACCAAATATCAGTGCTGAAGTCAAAGTCTTTCCTACACCCAATAAAGCAAAATTAACTTAAATTCCAAGTTAGATTTTACTTTTTTTTTTTTTTTATAACCCAGTGTCCAGACCACACTGTGATCCGACTAGCCCACTGGGCCTAAGCCCGCGTTCCTTGGATTTTTAAGCCTCCACTTAAGGGCCCCTCGGATCTGGTGGTCTGAGACGCTGCGCCCCGTAGGTAAATTGCGCAGTGGCCGGGACTCGAAGCCGGGTGGCGGGTGCCTCAGCCGAGGTTCCTATACCACCAGGAGACAAGCACCCGGTTAGTTAGATTTTACTTTTCTACTTTTTTCGGTTTTTTATATGTAATCTCATGTAAAAACATAAAATTGTGTTTGAAGAAAGCCAAAAAAACATAAAATTGTAAACCGGGATATATTATAACGTTAGATCCAATAGCAGAAAATTCATCTGTGAGAAAAAAAAATTTCATGTAGCCGATATTTTTGTAATAATAAAGTAAGAAAAGAAATTCCAAAAGAATGTAAAAAAGTAAGAAAACAAAAAATAACTTTTGCATATAGTCAATAATGGTAGGTGAATTGTTGTGTTGTCTAGACATTCTTCGTATAGTCGTATATATATCTATCTACCTTGTTGCTCTTCTTTCTATACCTCACAATTTGTTTATTAAGACATTCGTGAAAAAAATACTATTTTGTAGCCTTTTTTAATAATCTTCACGATGAGTCTTAAAGGCAGAGTAACCTCAACATCTTCACACAATCTTCATCATTCGGAAGAAAGAGTCCCTCTCCGATCAGATTCAGACCAGTCATGTCTAAATTCAAGTCCAGAGTTCGACTTTTGTCTCCGTCAGAACTCAAAACAACGGTTTTCTCACGCCGACGAGCTCTTCTCGGACTGGAAAAACCTCTCTCACAAGGCCACCGACACGATTTCGAAGAAGACCGAGATTACTTCTCCAAGAAGCAATCTTCAAACCCTAACTGCGAAATCCGACACAAGAGATTCTGATTCAGATGATCCAAGTTTTGGTTGTGGTTTTTGGCTTGTTAGAAGCAAATCTGTAGGGTACTCAATGAGAAACAAGAAAACAAATTCTTCTTCGGAATATCAACGGAGCAATAGTGATCCACATAAAAAGAAGAAGAAGAAGAGTTTGCAGAAGATGAATTCTACAGAGATTAGAGCTCCAAGATCCATGAATAGTCCGGCGTTGAATGTTCCGTTGGCTGATATATTTTGCTTAGGCCCTGTTTTTTCCGGCGGCCGCGATCGAAGAAAATGAAAGTGTGCTCTTGTCTTATAACCATGGTCCTGACCTAATTTGTGGAACATTTGAAGAGTTAGGTATATGATTTGTATACTCATACATATACTAAGAATCTAATTCGAGTTTTTTTTGTTTTTCATGTTATTGATTTGTTTGTACATTGATGTAACATATACGTTGGTTGTTACTTGTGTAATATAGAAATGTAATTTTCACATCTCATAGGAAGAAATATACTGTACTATTTTGTGAAATGGTTAAATTATAATGGCAAAAAAAACATTAAACCGACAAAGGATCAAATAATAGAAATACTAATCAAACTGTACACATCGATTGATTAAATGTGTGAATTTTAAAACCTTTGACTAATAAGTTTGACCAAAGTTGACGGATAGATGATTAATGAATAAAGTTGACTGGTTTACTTGTATTGGTGTTCCAAAAACTTTATATTGTACGTGGATTTTTGCTACATGTTAATATTGTTCGATGTAATATAAAACGACGTAATTTGTGTTAAGAAAATCAAAGCATCCTCTATGTAATATGAGCATACAAAGAGAAAGTTATATTAAGAAAATAATGACGCGTAACTTTTTTTTTCTTTTTGATGCGTAAATTTTAGAAGAGTTTAAAAATGATTTAAAGTTATCGGAAGTAATTCTCGAAAGAGAGAGCTAATCGGAACAGACAGACTTAATGTATGGAGTTTGAAGGAAAAAAAAAAAAAAAAGAGAGCGATTTAAGGTTTAATTATAAATGAAAATGTAGTTTTTCTCTGTAATTATATTATTCAGTTGCACTATTATCTATCTTCCATAAAAATATGTGAGGACCTAATATTTCAAAACTTAATACGTACGGTGGATCCAATATATAAAATGAATGCAATCCAGTACAGTTAAAAAACAAATTGCGTCCACATGTGTATTTGTTGCTTTGAAGCCCAGGATTGTGGATGCACTTTGTCGGTAGTTGACACACAAAATTTAAATTTGAACGCCGTTACGATGCAACTTATCAAATATGCATCCAAGTACCACAAATTCGGTGGTCGAAGAAAGACCACTTTATCTATGGAAGACATGTAAAATGGGTTAGAGACAGGAATTGTCGTCCAAACTTTTTCTTTGAGTCAACTAGCATGAGACAAGGGTTAGAGTCGGCCATTTATGCGTGATGCAAACGTTTACAACATAGTTACATTGCTGGAATAGAAGTACTATACATATATGTGTAAGTTTTTGAGGTCCATCATATCAAACTTAGAGCTAATTAATGCTAGAGTCTAGAGATGATCGTCTTCAAATAATATTTGAGTCGAGGTTTTAAGAGTAATGTCATCTATGAGGAGTAGAAGATAGACAATAAATTTTCCCTGAAACTTATAAGGAAGGAGGGAATCACATCTACTTTGAACGAAACCAGAACTGTAGACCCTTATGTACTACGTTCGAGATGCTTGTTTGGTCTCGACATTAAAATGGGTGAATCATATAGCTAATGCATGTACACAACGTTTACACAACGTTTTAAAGGTCATCGCGTAAGAATGTGTTATTGACGTCTAGCTGAGGAAATAAGTAATTTAGAGACAACATTACACACATAACGAAATAGATGGTTGTTAGGCTAAACATCTCAAAGTTTACACCTAATTATTTCTACTTCCCATTAGCAACTATTTAGTGTTGTATATTAGCGAACCATTTTGATATATGCATTGTACTATGGAAAATCAAGATTAACGAACCACTTTAATAGCACCAGATCATGAGAGACTACCGTCGACATTTCATTTTATTAGCACTTTTTCAATTAGAATCATTTGTAGTATATATGCATGTAAAATATGGAAAAGGGTAAAAAAAAAAAACACAATGTGAAGACAAATTGTGGTGGCTAGGAACAGGTTCTGTCAAGTGAGTAGGCTCTATCAAGTGAGTAGTCAGTCTGGCTTGTAACGAATGAATAAGTAGCTAAAGAGATGTGGATTTTTTATTTGTCATATATATTGTGTAAATGTATAAAGATAGCTAGATATTTGGATTTTTCATTTGATTTTATTTGGCAGGAAATATGAATACTAATTCATGGTCAAAAGAGTCGGACTAGTCCAATTTTTTAAAGCCAAAAAACCAGCGTCCAAATAATTGAAAAGAACATTGAATTCAATTTGAGTTTTTTTTAGTCCAACGTAATTATTATGCAAGAAAAAATAACTATGGAACTTTTTCTAAAGAAATCAATAACTAAACACCAATTGGAAAACTAAAAAAAGAACAAATTTAGTAGAATGTTTTGAGCAGCATTTTGTTTTTTAGGCTTGATTGATTTACAAATAGCTGGACAAAATATCCAAAATATTTTGATATCCATATTATTCTACAAGCAAAAAAAACAAAAATAATCATTAAAAACGAAACAAATCAAAAACATGAATTTTTTTTCTATGAATGGCTAAATTAATTAATCACCAAAACAAAAGTTACGTACAAACAAGTGGGAAATGAAAAAAATATAGCCAAAGGTAAATTTATTGGAAATCTCTAACTCGGACCATCGATGTAAGAGTGTTTGGAATCTAGAAAAATCTTGATATCAAAGAGAAACCACCCTATTTGAAACCGATTTCTAGAATATTACGTTCTAATAAGATGGCTGGTTAGACATATATATAGCTATACAAATTCTATAAATTTTATATTTCGTATAGGTATACATAAATTTGTGATTTTATTTCAATCAAATTAAAATTTAAAAAAAAAAGTCAAACCGAAAAAAAAATCTCCATAGATTGTCCAATTTTTGGGGTTGAAGTTTGAGTTTTTCTATAAATCTTAAATACTCTTAAATAATTAAAAAAAATCTATAATAGATAGAAATTTTGGTCCAATAGTTAGATATAAACAAAGTTTTGGTGAACTGAGGAACATATATAGATGAAAAATACAACTGGAATTCAATTTAATAATCAATAAAACTCTTTGTAGTATATTGTTTTTAGAAAGTAATGTTTTAACTTTAAGTTTTATTTTCCTGTTTAAAATTTTATAAATAGAGTTATATAAAGTGTTTTTACTATGCATTTAATCTTATTTCTACTCTAAAACTCATGAACAAATTAAAATTTTTGAAATATGACCACTTTTAATTTTTTTACAGTTAAAATTTGAATCATATTATTATTACTAATACAATTTTCATAGTATTGTTTTTACTATTTTAATATTTCATTTACTTAACTTAATTTGATTTTATTTAATTTATTTTCTATTAATTTTAAGTAATATATGAATGCACTAAATAAATATTTTAAATATATTTTAACGTAAATATAATTATTTTGCGTAGATGGACATCATGGATGGAGAGTGAACTCGATACCAAATCAAGTTATGAATGTGACAAAATTATATGAAAACACGAGTTTCAATATGAAGAATTTATGCTTTATTTTTTACAAACCAATCAAATCACCAACACATCAAAAAAAGCTACAAAAAAAACCCAAATCATCAATCAAATCCAAGAATTGCTTCTCATCAATCAAAAACCAACAAATAAAGGAACAAAAAAAAAACCGTGTAAAAATCAAAGCTTTTGAGATCAAATCAGTAAATTTGTCTGTACCCAAGAATAGTCCGACGACCACCACCACCTTCACCAACTTTTCTCCCTCCTCCTCCGCCGCCACCACCATTAATAGCAGAAGCAGCCGCCATTGAAATCTTCTTAAGATCTTCAACATTAGCGTAACTCTTACGCGCCATTCCCATCATCATCATTCCTTTACTCTTCTTCTCTCCAGCACTCGCCGACTTGCTCCCTCTCGATGCCGATCCCGTCAAAACGCCGCCGTTTCTCGGCGGAGGCGGAGTAGTAGTGTTGTAATTAACCGGACGACGATTCTCTTTACGTATCACAGCGGAGAAATCAGGAACAGATTGAGCTAACGAAGACGGAACAGCTTTTCTCATCGGAGAAAACCCAAATCGACTCTGTTTCTTCTTCTCCGGCGTAAACTTATCTTCAGGTGAAATTACTGAATTACCCTCAAATCGACTCTGTTTCTTCTTCTCCGGCGAGAACTTATCTTCTAGTGAAATTACAGAATTACCCTCAAACCTCACTTGTTTTTTGATCCTCGGCTCTTCTTCGTCTTCTTCCTCGAGGAATTTCTGAAAATCACGTTTCATACGAAGCTTTGATTCGCGTAATCTCGAGTATTCATCGTATCTTGGACCTCTTTCGAATCCGGAGAAACCATCTAACAAGAGTTTAAGCTGATGTGTGTCGGAGTTTTGAGAGAGTATTAGAGACATCGGATCTACAGAGAAGAACAGTTGTTCCATAGTCGGATTTGAGATTATATCCGCCATTGTTGGATCAAATCTCTCGATCACTTCTTCAGTAAAAGAGAGAACTTTTTCTTTTTGAGAACTAGATTTTGTTGTTTGCAAAAAGACTTTATTTAATGGTAATTAAAAGGTTTCTCTTTTATGGCTTTCGTAACGGTCTGATAGAAAAATTAGAGTGGTGACTCTTCAGAGATTTTGTTACGTTGACGATTTTACCCTTCTTTTTATTTTTTGCTTACGTCTAACGGTCTTATTTTGGTAGTGTGGGACCCAGTAAATCTTTTGATCAAACGGTCATTAATTTTTCCTTAATCATCAATTATCTAGCATTTATAGTTTTGTTTAGTCTGGTAATGATGATATCTGATCGTTTGTTTTGTTTTGACAACCGTAATATCTGATTTTATTTTTTAATAATTAACCATCCATGTTTAGGCCAAATATATTCCATCATTTCAACCTAAATTAATTTGACTAATTTTTATTTCATATTTAATTTTTTTTGTCACTGTTGATTGAATTGGATCAATAAACTCATATCACAAAATTATATATCAATAAAATTGATCATAGAGAATCAAAAGGTTATAATATTACCTATCAGCTAGACAAAGACTAAGCATAAGAACAATGTTGGACTATGGAGTTACTATGACAGGTATTACGATGAAGCAAATGTGAAGGACTCAAACTGTGTGAAACTTGTATTTCTGCTTCAAATTGAATCGAGATATTGAGTCACTAAATCCCTCTTCAACAAGTGTCTTCACACCTTCAACACCTTGTTCTAGTCCCGCATCAATCTACATATGATTCGGTTAAACACACTGGTGAATATAATATCATTTATCCAAAAAGTTTCAGTCTTTCAGAGATCACTTGACTGGTGAATTTAGCTTAAAGCTAGCGTTCTATTTGTTTACCTGTTTACGCTCCAAGGGGCTGAATTTCTGGAGAAGAAACGCTTTCATGTCCATGTTACCTGGTGGATTTCCAATTCCTGCAATTCAACAGACAATTTTATTATGATAGCAAAAGGGTATTTGGGGGAACAGGACTTCAAGGTAAAAGTGGACACAAACCGATTGATAAGCGGGGATAACCGCGACAACCATTTAAATGTTCTGTCACATTCTTCAATCTGGCACATAGCAAAAGAAGTTATAAGCCTTTTCAGAAAAGCACAAGAAATGGTTATATTCTTCTAATTCTGATTAGAAATCGTAAATGATGAAGATGCATTACTTTCTTCACAGTGTGATGCGCTTCCTATAAATAAAAATGCTTTATACTATTTGAATTCGTTTCTATTCTTCATCATCCAAAACCTTGGATCTTGAACTTTTGTGTCCTTTCAAGATAACATCTCCCTTCCTCAAGAGTGTGAGGATTAAGTTTAGAAATTGAAAATATTCAACATTTCTAATCCCTATCACTCAGAAAAAAGATTGCTGGAGATTTGAAAATTTTGACTTCATATAAGTTTCTTTGCCTTATAGTAACTTTATAAGCAAAGAACAATTCTTGCTCATTCCCTAAACCAAAAGAACCTATATTGATCACTTCACTATTCAGAGACATTACCCGAACTTGCTTTTAAACTTCGTATATGGTTCCTTCCCTAAACTTCTCTAAAACCAAAAGAACCCACATTGATCACTACCTTATTCAGAAACATTACTTACCCATTATGTTGGCTATGACCTCCTTTTGGTTGAAGCCTCAAGACACCATTAGGCAAACCCATGTCATCATATATCTACAGCATAAAAGCAAACACAATCTTTTGATCAATTCCATTTCACCATCATCACACAGCAAACAATAAGACACAGTACTTACCATCAGAATGTGGCGTAAGGGTATTTGATAGTAAGCCGCTAACGGCCCAACCTTCAAAACACATTAAAAGACAAATAAATCAATGATAAAGCGTAAGCCTTTGGGTTTTATCAAATCTCATGTACACAGGCCATTAGAGATAACAATGTAAAAAAGACTAACCGATTCACCGCTGAAATTCATGTATGCTTGAGGTTTAACCAACAAAATCGGTACTTCTCCAACAGAACCTGTTCTGGTCACATAGTGAATCCACCCAAATAAACAAACAAACAAGTGAAACAAATGCATCAGAAGGCAGAAAACTGGTGAGAAGAGAACCTATCCCAACTAAAGCCTTGGACTGTATAGTGTTCATAGAAATCTCCGTTGCTCGAGCTATATAATCAATCATCTCAAAACCAATCTACACAAACCAAAAACAAAATCAAGAATCAAAAAAAGGAAGAGAACTTTGATTCATAAACACCAAAATTGAATGTAAAAGAGTGAACTTTTTACATTATGCCTTGTTCCGTAATACTTTAATCCAGGGTTACCAAGTCCAACGATAAGCCATGGTGTGTATTCAACTTTAAGCTTGTTATCAGCAACTGGTAACGAAGCACGCAGAGAGGAAAATCTCTTCGAATTCGACTTTGTTTGAGCTTTTGGGTAGAGAAGAGATGTAATTGGAGAATATGATGCACAAAACATCGCTGTAACTGAAATAAACAAGGTATGGAATTGTTTCGTCAGGAATTGGTTCTGGAATGAAAAACCCTAAACCCTAAATTCTTAAGGGAAAGTAACACTAACCCATAAATGACGACGAGGTTCTGATGAACTCTTATGAGTAAAGAGCAGAACTTTGCGGAGAATTTGAGGATTTCTAAAGGACGATTGAAGAATTCGAAACGAAGCCTCAAGAGAGGATAAGTACATGCGACAATGACTTTCTCATCAGTCTCACTGATCCTCTTTTTTTTTTTTTTTTTTTTTTTTCTCTTTTAAGATGTAAAAATAGAGGAATTGATTTTTATGTTTATAAATATATTCATTGGGTAAAAATATTCAATGGCAAGAAACTATAGATGTTTCTCAAATATAATAATTTAATGTTTTTGTAATAAAATAATTATTTGTTTAAATTTTAATTAATTAAAAAAAATTTAATCAATCAAATGATGTCAAGTGTTAGACACAGTGTCTTACAGTTTCTCAAATGAGACACATTCTCTCTCTTACTTTTAATTATTACTAGGACGAAATATGCGCTACGTCGCGGGATATTTTTCTTAAATTATGTTTGAATCTCTAACAATTAAGAAACTAATCTTGTTTAGTCTAGAGTCATGGTCTATTAGTTATTCTTCTTTTAAATAAGCAAGAGGATTAGTGGATCTATTAGAGAGTATTAGAATTTATACGAAGCTGTTTTGAGCATTTTTTGTTAATATTTATGTATGGATTGCATTAAAAATATTTACCATAGTCTTTCATTTTGTAAAATTATTTTTAAACTATTAGATGACATTATTATTTTGTTAAAACGATAATTTAGTTATTTATTTGATATCATTTTTTATATAAAATAATTCTTCCAGTTATGCTATGCCTCTTTGTTTTTTCATTTTGTAAAATTTTGGATTCTTACAGTACAAAAATCTATAAAACTAATCATCGTGTATGCATAAATCTAATCATCCACATGTAAACAATAAGGGATGCCAAAGTTACAGGCCCAATGTTCAAAACACGTAGTACTCACATTGGGCCTTTAACATAGTACTCACATTGAAGCCAAACTTAAAGGCTCAATAGGCTCAATCTTAAAGAAACGTGGTAGACCAGAGACACTCTTCTACTTTCATCGTCGTTGTCTCTCACCAAATTCTTTAACTCATTCTCTGCGAGTCACCTGAATTTCAGACCACAAAGCCATTCTCTTTTCTTAGAGTCCTCAGAAACATGATCAAAACATGATCTTCAATGTTATTCTTCAGTGTCAAAAAATTGAAAGAAGCTGAAGATCTTACCACAACTGAAGTCTGACCGTTCTATCTTCAAGGTACATTGACTTTGATAGAAAATTGATACCAATTGTGGCCTATGATTATGAAGCAGCATAAGATAATGAGAAAAGCAAGAAAATATTGAACAATGATGATAAGCAAGCATGATTGACATATTATTAGGAGCTTAAACGCAATTCTCATTTTCGCAAAAGAAGATCAGATGCTTTCAATCATCAATTGAGAACAAATTCGATTAGATAAACAATGATAACAAAATCAAAGAAACATCCTCATATCAGTGTAACTACGAATGCGAGTGATTACAAAAGCCAAAATCGCAAACGATGATTACATTCAGCTGATTGTTACGTCCTATACATTGACTAAACATGATCTACAAATCAGATCACACATAATTACGTACAATTGAACGCGAGATCACAAAAACAAATTAGAACTTCGTACTGAAAAACACGATTCCCGTTCATGAAAACGGATCTCAAAATCGATCAAACACTGGTATTTCCACAGGCCTATAATCCCACAATAAAAGCAAACGTCATGCAACGTCGAGATAATACCTAGATTTGAACGATGAAATTTACCTGGTAAGTATTGTCGAATATGTCGTACATGAGCCGAGTGATGATACTGATATTGCCGACGGTTTGATCTCCCTAAAACACCAGTTTATACTTAGCGAGTGCTCTTGGTTAGACTTAACTTTATCGTCGACGTGAGTGTAATATGAATGGCAGAAACAGTGACTTCATTTTTTTTTGTATGTCCAACTAATTCAACAAAGTTTGAAACTTTAAGTCTCTCCGCAACTCAATTACATGGAAATTCTTATAAGTCTACTCTTTAAGTGGTTCTTTTGGTTGATACTCCCAGCCTTGTTGTTATAAAACCTTGAGTTTGAAGCATTCCACTACCACAAATAACTCAATTTTCTTCAAGGTATGTCTTCTCTTACTCACATTTCAAAATCTTGTGTGCGCTAATCAAAACCAGAAAATTGCAGCCATAAACCCATCCTTATCAAACCCAAGACAGTCCTACTTCATTCTAGCTTCAAGAGTTCAATCCTATAATCTAAACCAACCAATAAAATCACCAAATAAACGATAACCAGCATGATTCCAAGCCTATAACTCTAAACTGTTTGTTCCTCTTTGTGAAGCTATCACAAATTAGTGACATTTGTTCTGTCTTAGAAAAATATGCAGACTCGATACCTGATCGTTTTGCTCGTTCTTCTCCTCAAAGCTTCTGTATTTGCTTCTCTAATGATGAAATGTTGATTACAACTCTGAATTTTGTCGATCACTTGGTGTGCATTACAGAACAGACCCAAACCCAGATTTTCAACCAACTTGGGGATAACATTGATCCAACACTGATATCTTCGTTTACTGCTGCAAGCATCGTGGTTCTCTTAAGTATTTATCGTCGATGCTTAGTAGTAGAAGTTGCCAAGAAAGGATGACCACCAGATCGAATGTGCTTGATAAGAAGAGGAAGAAACGTAAGCAAGGAGTTACTTTATATTTCTTACCAAAAAGAGATCCAACGTATGCTGAGACGACAGCAAGCTTCTCATCTGTCTCTAGAGTTGTCGTCTTCATCATTTTTGAGCTGTTAAGATAATCAAAATAGGCTACTTTAAATCCCAAACACCTCTCACCCATTTAAAGCAAAGTTCACGGCTTCACGCCTACCCACAAAAAAAAGTACATAGTTGTTTAAAACACAACCCATCACGTATGAGGTTAAAAACATAAAGATGGGCCATTAATAATATGTAAGAAGCCCAAGATGATGATGTTAACAAATGATGTATTAGAAGAGAGTATTTTGATTGGACAAAAATGATGAGCTGTATTAAAGGTTATAATTTGATTGGACAAACGTTTTTACTCATGTGTCAAGCTGAGAACATCTAAAAAATCTGATGTGTCAACCTCTGGAGAGAAACAAGATGTTATTATTGTATTGATTATTTTTTTAAAATTCTTTAGACACTCCTTGAGACACTCCGTTGGAAGTGCTCTAAGTCTCACTGATCAGAGGGACTTTTGGATATCTCTCTTAACGCTCTCGTATCTTTGAGAGAGAGAGAATTTTCTTTCCCGATAACAATTGGAGAGTTTAGTATCAGTTTATTTCCGGTTTTGACCGGATCTGTGTATATTTTCGCATTTATGCAATTTCAATAAATTCTGACTTTGTGTCAGACTTTTGCGACCGGCTAAGTCAAGTTCTCTCTCGCTTATAGCGATCTGTGATCTCTTTCCATCTTTGCTTTTGACCATCGATGTCTCCGCTTTCTTCCAAATTCTCTTCGTTTCTCTAATTATTCGAGGAATAATATCTTCATCACTCTCCTTTTGCTCAAGATGCATGAGCAAAGATGGATTCAAGTCTACATCAAATTGGGTGTAGTTGGTGGTAGAACTTCCCCGGCGTTGGTGCTTTTCAGAGAAATTTTGAAGCAATTTTCATTTTAATTCGGTAGATTTCGATGCTACTTTCGATTAGATTGGAGATCGGCAGAAGGGAGGAGGATACCCATCGCTATATGGCTGATTGGGGGTGGTTAATCGGAATTAGGCGATTTCCGGCTAACGGTTGACGGTGGCGCTTGATATCTTGACTTGTGTGGGTTGAGAAGAACACGTCTTCGACACGTGTCACTCGCTAAATAATGTTGGCAAATTATGTTTATCTGTTAATTTTAATTATGATTTAGATTGGGCCGTTATATTTCGCTTGTATCCCTCTAATGGGCCTTATATATTTGCTCTTCGGGCCTTTAATGGAATCGTTTGGCCGACAAAAAGAAAAATAAATCTCACCGATCCTCTATTAGGTTTGCCTTCGTAAATTAACATAAATAATGTATTTAAATATAAATGCAAAAATTGAAATCGTTATATTGAAACCATAACTAAATTTTCCTATAAAACATATAAAATCAATACAACAATAAATTTTAATAATTTTCTATTAATTAAACATAAACGAAAAAATGTTGTTAATTTTTCAACAATCTAAATTTATAAAACTATAAATCAATATGATAAAACCTAACACAACAACTTTGTGATTTTTGAACGAATGAAAAAATTCCTAATAAATTAATCAAATGTAAATATTCTAATATATACAAAATAATTAAGACTAAGTGCCATAAAATTCACTCGAGCATAGCACGGATTCTTACCTAATATTTTAATGTCGAGACAAATATCCAAAATCCATTTTAAATACCGGATCAGAGCCGTGCTTATAGGGTTATTAAAAAGGCATTTGCCTAAGGCCACATGAAATATTAACATTTTAGAGGCCACATTTCTATATACTTTTTAATCAATGTAATTAGATTATATGATGAAATCTTCCATAATATCATACTTTGAAGTCATTTAAAAAAAATACATGTATATCGATTATTAATCCTTACATACACATACTAAGATGCACATAAGAATTTTTTTTCTTTTTTTGTTACATGTTATGGAGTAATATTGTAAAATACATTAACTATAATGATTTATAGTGCTTTAATCATATTTTGTTAAAAATAATAATTTGAGTGATAAATAAAAAATTTAAAAAGGCCACATAATTTACAAGTCGCCTTAGGCCTCTCAAAGCCTAGGCACGGCACTGTACCGGATCTGTTATATTCTTCATATATCTTGTTGCTTTTGTTTCTTTTGTCACCTATTACATTATCATTAATAATATTTTATCTAATCATGATGATAGACTAGTACAAACGTATGTGATTACGATGAAATGCTTCCAGGAAAAATGATTTCACGATGAAGTTCTCTCTGCAACAATCGGATCCACAATGGACAGTTTTAATTTGCATGTACGACATCCGATGGACAAACTCTTTCCACAATACACAGACCACGACGGATGGCACTGTCTTGAGTACTCTTACTATTCAAATCTCCGATAAACTTTGTATTAACAATCAACAAGAAATTGGGTTTTATAAAAATCGAATCTCCCACTTCATGTAAAAGCGTTTAAACGGTCAAGGAGCTTCCACTATATCTATATCTTGTTATTTCTGGCTAAAAAGTTTAAGTCAATAAGACATAGTAATACATGTTTTTATATTGATTAAGCGCATAAAAGAAACATAGGGTTAAAGAAAATAGAAAAGGGGAAAAAAATTGAAATAAACAAAGGCAAAAACTAAAAAGAAGACGCACTTGAGTATTAATCATTCGTTTCTGAGTCATCTTTTTCCCCACCAACCTTTCTCAATACTTCTTAGAGCGAGTCTAATCCTTATTTCTCTTCAATATATTCATGGAGTTAACAAATTTTGTTGTTGTTCCATAACGCAGCTTCAAATTTCTGTTGTTTCTTTCTTTCATAAACTTGAATCGCAGGCTTGGTCTTGGAATCATTGGTCAAGAGAGAGAGGCTACAACTTTTAAAAGGTAAACTAAATATGAAAAGAACTTGAAAATAATTGATCGATCTTAAGCTTATCTTGTTCCCTTTGTTGCTCTTGTTTAGTGTCTCGGTTTTCACTTAGGGGAGGGAGTCTATAGATCGAGTCCAATACATCTTCTTGCCAAGAGCCTCATCACTTAAGGTTTTACTTCAAGTAAAACCTAAACTTTCATTTTCATTAGTGATATTTACATTCTTATAAATATTTATATATATATATATATATATATATATATATATATATAAAGAATTAGAGGCAACTTTCTTGAAAGAATTGAGACAACGATGTAATGTTCTCACCAAATATGTTTTACTGGATATATAGATTATATTATTCTGGCACAATCAAGTGAAGTCATGACTTAAGACATCAAATTAAAGGGGACATATTTAAAAAAAAAATTTTAGGTCTTTTATATTTAAAAAAAAAAGAATTATAAGTTTTTTTTTAAAAACAAATTTGTTAGGCTTTTCTTTCATTATATTTTTGTGCGTTTTATGCCTTTAAATTAATAAATTATTAATTAATGTATTGTTAATGAATTTTATTAGGAAAATTTTGGTTTTAAATCTTAAACATTTACAAAAAAAAAAATTCTATTGATTCAATTCATATTTTTCTTTTTGTGCGCTTGGCTGCTAGCAAGCTTGATTTTATTAATCAAGTAAATATCTAAGTGAGTAAGTTTGAAATTAATAATTCTTTTCTTTTTAGTTTTAGTATGACTAATTATATTAATCTTGTTTGTGATGCTAGGGCATGATTTATTTTAGTGGCGTAGGGCATTTAGATATACTGGACCGGCCCTGATATCACCTAAGACTATAAGTTAGAAACATGAACTAATTATAGTTGTATACTTGTATTAGAGAAGGAATAGATGTTCGCACAAAAGAAAAAAGAGAATGAATAGATTACAATTCTTTTTGCTATTTTCCAAATTCTCTACCAACAATTTTATATCTGTGGACTGTGGATATTTGCATGTATGCCATTTTCACGATTTACGTACCACTTAATAACCTAATTATTTATATATTTTTCAAAATTATAAAAAATTAAAAATTTGAATGATAATAAATTTGACTAGATTGAAAGTCTTTTGGTGGAAAAAGAGGTATGGGATTTTTTCCCACGGAATCTATTTTTGCGAACTTGGATCACTTATTTTGGAGAATACCTTCGGAATTCGATTCGTCAGCTTTCCCATGGATTATCTAGTATATTTGGAAAGCAAGGAATGTGAAAATATTTGAAAATATAGACAATGATCCACTGGAGGTATTACGGTTAGCGGAAAAAGAGGCACAATTGTGGCAGGCAGCTCAAATCGAGCTTATTAACGAAAATCAGGGTTCTATGGATTTGGTATCTCGATCTCGAGTGAGGGATGCTTCGTTTGAATCGACCTATTCGGGCTACCATTGTTTTGTGGATGGATCATGGAAAGGAAGTGATAAGTTCTCCGGTACAGGATGGTTCTGTACATTATTAAGTGGAGAGCCGCCAACCATGGGAGCTGTCAACCTCCGTAGAAGTCTATCTCCCCTACATACAGAAGTCGAGGCCTTTCTCTGGGCGATGAAGTGTATGATTGGTGCAGATAATCAAGAGGTAGCGTTCACTGTTCTAACTTGGTGAAGATGGTGTCTTCTCCAACCGAATGGCCGACGTTTTCAGTATTTTTGGAGGAATTTCAGAGCGAGAAGGAAGAATTCTCTACCTTATCTTTATCTTTAATTTCTCGTTGTGCTAATGTAAAAGCGGATAATCTGACACGAAAAATTCGTACATAACCGCTACATATCACATATGTAAACAACATTCCTCAGGAATTACTCTTTTGAGTTTTAATTTATTTCGGATGACAAAAAAAAAAAAAAAAAAGTCTTTTGGCCTGTTTCTTTATTTTGGCTGGGATGCCTTTATTGCCTTTCATATTCAGATGAACAAATAAATTATAATTATTTATTTAGATACTTTTTAGCGTCGAGAAATTTCCAATTTACTTCTTCCATCCTTGTCAAGATTTTCCAAGGGTAGTCAAATTCTGACTATATTTTCTATATCTTCTAGTTCTTTTTATTTCTTCCTTTTGCTAATGTTCTAACAAATTCTTTATCGTATACTGTCTTCTTCGAGCCAATGGTTGAAGGGTTGTCATTGATGTTCCTCCTTGTTTCACTTTTATTCGTCTCACGTACGGCCTTTTCCATTATTCCAGAAAACATTTTTCGTTTAGTTCTTATTTGGTGATATAATTTTTATTGTTAATTTTTCTAATCGCAGGAGTAACGTCAAGAAACTTTACTATAGAAAACAAATGCGATTATACTGTCTGGCCGGGAGTTCTAACCACGAATACCGTTCCACTCTCCACCACCGGCTTCGAACTCAAGAAAGGAGAGGCGCGTGTCATCAACGCGCCGTCGTCATGGACAGGTCGTTTCTGGGGTAGGTCTCTCTGCTCAACCAGCTCAAAAGGAAACTTCTCCTGCGCCACCGGAGACTGCGGCTCAGGAAAAATCGAGTGCTCTGAAGGCTCAGCGCCTCCAACGACTCTAGCTGAATTTTCCCTAAACGGTTCCAACGGTCAAGACTTCTATGATGTAAGCCTCGTAGACGGTTACAACCTTCCTTTAGTGGTGGTCCCACAACGTCCGCAGAGTGGCCAGACATGCGTCAGCATTGGTTGCGTGGTCAACCTGACCAAGACGTGTCCGTCGGAGCTTCAGGTTATGGGAAGCTCCAGCGAGGGAGAGCCAATTGCTTGCATGAACGCTTGTCAGAAATTCAAAACAGCGGAATTCTGCTGCACCGGCGAGTACTCTACGCCTCAGAAATGTCCACCGTCGCTTTACGCAAAGAATTTCAAGAACGAATGTCCACTCGCTTATAGCTATGTTTATGATGATGCAACCAGCACATTCACATGCTCAAACTCACCTAACTACGTCATCACCTTTTGCCCGCCGATTACTTCGAACACCACCAAGTAAGTTCCCGGAAATATCCTTCCTATTTCGTCAAAGACGTAGGGTAGTTGAATCCAATGTTCTAGAGATATTGGATCATACACGGCTTTAATTTTGACCATTCATTCTAGAGATATTTTCTAGAATGTTGACTAGTTGAAATGGACCATATATTTGGTTCGCTAACACAATCCAATCCAACTCATCACGCTAATGAGTTTATCCAAATATTTTACCCTGTTTAATATAGGATCCAATGTTCTAATAATCCATAATGCCAAAAATTGTTATTAAAATTGGTCGTCATCTAGACTAAAATCGTCGTCATAAATAGTTACATTTTTTTAACTTTGGTCAAATTTGTTGAAAATAAAATATAAAAACATTATTAAGGGAACAAGAATTGTTCTTAGTAAGGGAGTTTATGGTTTAGGCGGCCGATTTATTCACATGGAAGCTAGTTTAATATATTATAAGCAATTTATAAAAAGGACATTTAAATGAACCTACCCATTTCTGATTAGCACCTACCCATTTTTTTAAATTGCTAGTTAGGTCTTATAAACTGATATGTGATTATGTCACTTCTTCGATAGCAACAACAGGAGCTCAGCGGCTGATCCTCCATTCCCAGCTCAACCTTCCAAGGAAACTAATGGAGGAACAAAACGTAAGTTTTGTTTTATGAACTTTTTTCATACCAATAGTTCTTATGATTTTTTTGCTTAACAAGATTTCTTGTTTGATTTTTTTTTTTTTGGCAGAAAAATCAGCATGGAAATTAAAACTCATACTTGGTACTATATATATATATATATATATATATATCGCTCAATCCATCAGATAGTACTCTTATATACAAAAAAACAACACCTAAATTTTGATTCTGTTTATCTTATGGCAGGAGTCTTAGCAGCTTTAACTGTGATGATAATTATTGTGGTCGTGATAATAATGAAAACAAAGAATAGGACAAAGAGTGATTGGGATGACCAAAACGTTGAAGCAGTTGTAATGTTGAAAAGATATAGTTACAAAAGAGTCAAGAGGATGACAAACTCATTTGCGCATGTTCTTGGGAAAGGAGGATTTGGAACCGTCTACAAAGGAAAGTTACCTGATAGCGGTCGGGATGTTGCAGTGAAGATCTTGAAGGAGACAGAGGGGAATGGGGAAGAGTTTATCAATGAAGTAGCTAGCATGAGTAGAACATCTCATGTCAATATCGTTTCTTTGCTTGGATTCTGTTATGAAAGGAACAAGAGAGCTATAGTCTATGAGTTCATGCCGAATGGATCCCTCGACAAGTATATTTCTGAGAATATGTCAACCAAGATGGATTGGGAAAGATTATATGCCATTGCGCTAGGTATCTCTCGCGGCCTAGAGTATTTGCACAATCGTTGTGTCACAAGGATTGTGCATTTCGACATAAAGCCGCAGAACATACTGATGGACGATCATCTTTGCCCTAAGATTTCGGATTTTGGTCTTGCTAAACTATGCAAGAATAAGGAAGTAAGCATAATTTCAATGCTAGATGCCAGAGGGACAGCGGGATATATTGCCCCTGAAGTATTTTCCAAGAATTTTGGGGGAGCTTCGCATAAGTCAGATGTGTATAGTTATGGGATGGTGATTCTTGAGATGATTGGAGCAAGGAATATAAACATGGTTAAAAATGCTCGTTCCACTAATAGTTCAGTGTACTTTCCAGATTGGATCTATAAGGATTTTGAGCAAGGAGAAATTATGAGGATTTTGGGAGATCAGATAACCGAAGAAGAAGAGAAAATTGCGAAGAAAATGGTATTGGTTGGTTTGTGGTGTATTCAGACGAATCCATCTGACCGTCCACCAATGATCAAAGTCATTGAAATGTTAGAGGGGAATCTAGAGGCTCTCGAAATTCCACCTAAACCTCTCTTGTATTTACCCGCAGCAACGGTACCAGAAACTCTTGAAGATAGTAATGAGACTACAAGCTTCTCTAATCCAACTCAGTTTGAAAGAGGTACTCCATCAGCTAGCTAGTGAAGATGTTTTACACTTTTCCAAAGAAGTGATTCAACAAACTGTTGAGGAGAGTCAATTTAGGTCAAGGTCCTCCTAAACTAAAATCAACAAAAGAGTGGATCTCTTAAAACTTATCAAGATCTTGAGGTATTCTTCTCGGTTAGTCATATACAACTTCGGATTTGATTGTGTTTATTCTAAGCTTATTAAATGATGTTTATTGACGCAGACACTCGACATCATTGGTTAATGGAGACAATTTTCTGTTGTTTTTCTTGCAAATGGTACAAGATGCTTTGGAAGAGAGCAAAATTTAAACTCCTCAAGACAAAAAGCTAATAAAAAGGTGTGTAGCCATGGTAAAATCTTACAAGTAGATAGGTATTCAGTTGTTTGTAGTAACGTTTGCGCCAAAATTTTAATGGTTACGTGACAAAATTCTTTAAGTCCCAAAAAATTGTAACAACCGATCAAAAAGAGATAAAATAAAAAATTTAACAAACCAAAAAACTCAAGATGATCAAAACCTCTCCTGATTTCTGAATTTCTATTCTCTTCTTACAAATGTATTCCCATTCTTTCCGAATGTAGCGAAACGGATGATCCCAATACGGGGTTTTTTCGATTACTTCTCTGGGATGGAGGACTCCTTTCTTGTATGAGAACAAGTAATGATTATTGAAAATCCAAGCAACCACTCGTAATCTCCTGTTCGCTCATCTATCCATAGCACAGCTGATCTTTTGCATATGATGATGTCTTCGACACACAATCCGTACGACATTGATTGACAAAGTGTCTCCACTCGCTGAATCCATGTATGAGAATTTTATATATTGAAGAAAATAAATTTGTAAGTTAAAGTGTAAAATGTTAACAAGATCATTCTCAAGGACTTGTAAGAAAATTAAAGTCTTCTAAAGTCTTTTGTAATGTGGCTTTCACACTTGACTTGGTCCTTCAACACCCCGAGTCTCCCTAGTTCTTGTTTTCTTTTTAACAGTGAATTTATTTATCAAACTTAAAAAAGTCAAAATCAGAATGCAGAATTTACATTTCTTGATTCTATGTTTTTTTCTTCCCGGGCAATCATTAATAAAACGATTTCGGGTCTGGGGGTATTACGGGTTTTGGCCCATAACCTCCTCGTATTAAAAAAAATAATAATAATAATAATAATAATCATTAATAAAATGAAAACAAAAAAGAAGAACATATTGTAGAAGCCTGTAGCAAAAAAAAATTACTAAATATTGAAGAAAACATGTTAACCAAAAGACTAAGCAAAGCCTGGAACAAACCACTAAGTTTTAACAAATCTATTATTAAAATTGTCTTCCTTATGCCATTTGATTATACTTGTTGCAAGATCGAAGACACCGTAGTTTGAAAAAGCAGGATAATATATTGGCCGTAACTGAAAGTCATCTCTAACGAAACAGATTGAACCACTCTTGATTCCATCACCAACATCTTGAACCGGTGCTCTTATTGTAACCCCATGACCAAAGATCAACATCTCATCATCTCCAATAGATTCTACTCTTTCCCATATGTTACTCTCAAGATTCATCTTAAAGATGTAAAACAAAAGTTTCCTTTTCGTTATTAGACTCAATACACTCAGGATAATCAAAACCTCTCCTGATTTCTAAATCGCCATTCTCGTCTTACAAATATTTTTCCCTTCTTTTGTAAAGTATTGAAAAGGATGTTCCCAATACAGATTTTTTTCGATTACTTCTATGGGATCATTTCTAGAGAAATCAACAATTTTGATGTGACCTTTGGTAGTATAGAGATAAAGCTTGCTGTTTCTATAAGCCAAATCCAAAAAACTTAAATTTAGGCTTTCCATATTCAAATGGTCATTCCAGTTCCACCATGAATCATCTCCTTTCTTGTATGAGAACAAGTAATGATTATTGAAAATCCAAGCAACCACATAATCTCCTGTTCTCTCATCTATCCATAAAACAGCTGATCTTCGGCATATGATGATGTCTTTCCCCACATAATCCTTACCACATGGATCAACAAAGTGTCCCCACTCGCTGAATCCATCCTCGCGGTTCCGCTCGAATCTCACATTCCCACCGCGAATTGAAGACTCCATAGATGGAAGATCGATTCTTTGGTACGTTAACAGGTTAAAAATGTAGAAACCGAGATGAGAATCTACCATCAAGAGCCAGTTTCCGGAGCTAGTCATATAATAGCTGTCGTTAGAGAGTCCAACGTTTGTTCCTTTGTAAATCTTGTCTTCTCCGGGATTTAACAACATCAAAGAATCTTTTACGTATGTGATCCGCCATGGACAAAGAGGACGCTTCACGCATGTTTTCCAAATTGAATACCAATCTGAGCAAACGGTTTTTGCTCGGTGAAAATCAATAGAGTTCAAGCTTTCGAGGATCGACCGTAAGAGATCGGGATAAAGTTTGGACCAATCGTGATTTTCAGACACTTTTGGTCTCTTCTCTTCTCTCATCAAATCGTTTGGCGTATCCATGTTGCGCTTACTTGCCGAGCACTCTAACTCGGTTAAAAGATGAACAAGTATCGAGGTTTAGTTTAGTTTGTCCAATATATATAGTTTGAATATCTAGGTCAAGTTTCTTAGATATCATATAAGATTCTCTTCAAATCCGTACTCTGATAAGCTAAAACGCGACAATTCTCCTTGTAACATGTGTCTTTTTCCATTTTATTCTAAAATTATTATTTAGTTTTATAACAAAAAAAATATCTCATTATTTAATTTCATCAGATTTAATTATATACATCATTACTTTTAAAATCTATATTATATATTAAAGTAAGGTTCTCTTCAAATACATACTTTCACAAGCTGCTGGTACGTGACATCTCTCCTTGGGGAAAAGGGGATTTTCATACCCGTACTATCTCCACCGTGGATTTTCATACCTGGACAATTTCGTAGGATATTTTACAACATAAACTTCAGTAAAATTTGAATCTCATACCCTATACTTGATACAACGTGCAAAAATCGGAGTCAATCTAACGGGTGTTAGTCAACTCCGTTACGGTGTGTATCGAAACGACGTCATTTTGATAAGTGTTCTCAAAGTTTTATTTTTTTTTGCAAAACTGGGGACTCGAACCCGCGAGCCGTACTCACATGGGATGCACTGAATACCAACTGATCCCACAACATTCATCGAGTATTCCTCAATCTTTTTAACTTATAAACCCAAAAAGTTGTGCGAAGCCGTAGTCACATGGTAAAACTTTGTTCATGCCTAATTTCTGAGAAGAAGAAGAAGAAATGAGAAAACGATTTCTCAATTCGAAACCCTAATATTCATAATTTCCTCCCAACTTAAAACGATTGACTACGGCTCGCGGGTTCAATGAACGTTGTGGGATCAGTTGGTATTCGGTGCTTCTCATGTGACTACGGCTCGCGGGTTCGAGTCTCCAATTTTGCAAAAAAATTTAAAACTTTGAGAACACATATCAAAACGACGTCGTTTCGATACGCACCGTAACGGAGTTGACTAACAGCCGTTAGATTGACTCCGATTTTTGCACGTTGTATCAAGTATAGGGTATGAGATTCAAATTTTATTAAAGTTTAGGTTGTACAATTCCCTACAAAATTGTCCAGGTATGAAAATCCACGGCGCAGACAGTACGGGTATGAAAACGACGTCGTTTTGATACACGTCAGCGTACACGTGTACGATGACTCAGCACCGTAACGGAGTTGACTAACACCCGTTAGATTGACTCCGATTTTTACCCGTTGTATCAAGTATAGGTATGAGATTCAAATTTTATTGAAGTTTAGGTTGTAAAATATCCTACGAAATTGTCTAGGTATGAAAATCCACGGTGCAGATAGTACGGGTATGAAAATCCCCTTTCCCCTCTCTCCTTGTGACATGGATCTTCTTCCATTTTATCCTAAAATCATTATTTACATTTTTAACAAAAAATATCAATATTTAATTTCATTAGATTTAATTATGTATGTCAATTTAAAAAACATAAATGAGAGATACTTTTATCCTATTTTCATCATTTAAAATAAAAATTTAAAATTAAGATACTTTACTCTAAACTAAGATATATAAGATTCTCATAATAATTAAAATCTTGATTATTTCATTTTCTTTAAAATGGAATATAGCTTTTAAAGAAGGTACATGTTGAGTAATTTATTTAATATTGAGAAATACCCTCAAACACCATTAGCATTGAACATGCTTTACACTTTTCCAAAGAAGTGATTCAACAAACTGTTAAAGAGAGTGAACATAAGGCAAGGTCCTCCTAAACTAAAGTCAACACGAGAGTGAATCTCTTAAAACTTATCAAGATCTTGAGGTATTCTTCTCGGTTAGTTATACAAGTTCGGATTTGATTAATTGTGTTTATTCTAAGCTTATTAAATGATGTTTATTGACGCAAACACTCGACATCATTGGTTGGAGACAATTTTCTGTTGTTTTTTCTTGGAAATGGTACAAGATGCTTTGGAAGAGAGCAACCTAAATTTAAACTCGTCAAAACAAACGGTGTGTGTAGCCAAGATATCATGGAACTTATTTTATATTTCTTGATAAAATTTTACAACTAGATATAGGTATTCAATTGTTTGTACTTTTTAGTAACGTTTGTGCCAAAGTTTTAACGGTTACGTGACAAAATTCTTTAAGCTACAAAACACTTTAACAACCGTTTATGAAAAAAGAAGAAAAATGTAACAAACAAATGTACTTCCATTAGAAATGAAGAAACCTACCTTAACCAAAAGACTAAGCAAATCCTGGAACCAGGATTATACCCACCACCATTTGAAAAGTATATTCTGAGGCTATTTGATTATACTTGTGGCAAGATCGAAGACACGGCAATTTGAAACAGCACAATATATACTGGCCATGCATATGCCATCTCTAACGAAACAGATTGAAACCACTCGTGATTCAATCATCACCAACATCTTGAACCGGTGCTCTTATTGTACCCCATGACTAAAGATCAACATCTCATCATCTCCAATAGAATCTACTCTTTCCCATATGTTACTCTCAAGATTCATCTTAAAAATGTAAAAGCAAAAATTTATCTTCCAATATCTTTTCAAATACACTCAAGATGATCAAAACCTTTCCTGATTTCTGAATCACTATTCTCTTCTTAAAAATGTATTCTGATTCTTTCCGAATGTAGCGAAACGGATGATCCCAATACGGTTTTTTTTTTCAATAACTTCTATGGGATGATCTCCAAACTCTACAGAAACCAACAATCTTCATTTGATCATTAGTAGTATAGAGATAGAGCTTGCTGTTTCTATAAGCCAAATCCGAATAACTTATATTGAGACTTCGATATTCCAATCCTTATTCCAATTCCACCACGAATCATCTCATTTCTTGTATGAGAACAAGTAATGGTTATTGAAAATCCAAGCAACAACATAATCTCATGTTCTCTCGTCTATCCACAGAACATCTGATCTTTTCCATATGATGATGTCTTTCCACGCACAATCCGTACGAAATGGATCGACAAAGTGTCTCCACTCGCTGAATCAATGTATGATAATTTTATATATTGAAGAAAATAACTTTTAAGTTAAAGTCTAAAATGTTAACAAGATCATTCTCAAGGACTTGTAAGAAAATAAAAGTCGTCTAAAGTCTTTTGTAATGTCACTTTCACACTTGATTTGGTCCTTCAACAACCCAAGTCTCCCTTGTTCTTGTTTTCTTTTTAAACAGTGAAATTATTTATCAAACATAAAAAAAATCAAAATCAGGATGCAAAATTTACATTTCTAGATTCTATGTTCTTTTTTTTTTTTCACTGGCAATCATTAATAAAATGATAACAAAAAAGAAGAACTTATTGTAGAAGCCTGTAGCAAAAAAAGAAATACTAAATATTGAAGAAAACTAGTTAACCAAAAGACGACTAAGCAAATCCTGGAACAAACCACTGAGTTATAACAAATCTATTATTAAAACTGTCTTCCTTAGGCCATTTGGTTATACTTGTTGCAAGATCGAAGACACCGCAACTTGAAACAGTACAATCATATACTGGTCGTGAGTCAACTGTAGCGAAATAGATTGAACCACTCTTGATTCCATCACCAACATCTTGAACCGGTGCTTTTATTGTAACCCCATGACCAAAGATCAACATCTCATCATCTCCAATAGATTCTACTCTTTCCCATATGTTACTCTCAAGATTCAGCTTAAAGATGTAAAACAAAAGTTTCTCTTTCGATAGTGAGAATATACTCATGATAATCAAAACGTCTCCTGATTTCTGAATCGCCATTTTCTTCTTACAAATGTAATCCCCTTCTTTTAAAAGGCATCGAAACGGATGTTCCCAATACGGATTTTTTTCGATTACTTCTATGGGATCATTTCCAGAGAAATCAACAATTTTGATGTGACCATTAGTAGTATAGAGATAAAGCTTGCTGTTTCTATAAGCCAAATCCAAAAAACTTAAATTTAGGCTTCCCATATTCCAATGGTCATTCAAGTTCCACCACGAATCATCTCCTTTCTTGCATGAGAACAAGTAATGATTATCGTAAATCCAAGCAACCACATAATCTCCTGCTCTCTCATCTATCCATAAAACAGCTAATCTTTGGCATATGATGAAGTTTTTTGACACGTTATCCTTACGACAAGGCTCGACAAAGTGTCCCCACTGGCCCATGCTTCGCTCGAATCTCACTTTTCCACCGCGAATTGAAGATTCCATTGATGGAAGATCGATTCTTTTGTACGTTAACAGGTTAAAAATGTAAAAATCGAGATGAGAATCTACCATCAAGAGCCAATTCCCGGAGCTAGCCATATAATAGCTGTCTTTGGAGAGTCCAACGTTTGTTCCTTCGTAGATCTTGTCTTCTCCGGGATTGAACAACATCAAAGAATCTTTTACGTATATGATCCGCCATGGACAAAGAGGACGCTTCACGCATGTTTTCCAAATTGAATACCAATCTGAGCAAACGGTTTTTGTTCGGTGAAAATCAATAGAGCTCAAGCTTTCCAGGATCGACCGTAAGAGATCGGGACAAAGTTTGGACCAATCATGATTTTCAGACACTTTTCGTCTCGTCTCTTCTCTCATCAAATCGTTTGGCATATCCATGTTGCGCTTACCTGCCGAGCACTCTAACTCGGTTAAAAATGAACAAGTAAGTATCTAGGTTTGGTCCAATATATATAGTTGTCTTTGAGACATGTGTCTTGTCTTCTTTCATTTGATCCTAAAGTCATTATTTACGTTTTTAACAAAAAAATATATCATTATTTAATTTGATTAGATTTAGTTATGTATATCATTATTTTCAAAAACCTTCTCTTCAAATTTATACTCTGACAAGCTAACAGGTGAATCTCTCCTTGTGACATGGGTTTTCTTTCACTTTAGCCTAAAATCATTGTTTCTCTTTTAATAAAAGATATCATTATTTAATTTCATTAGATTTAATTATGTATATCATTATTTTAAAAACTTATCTCAAAGTTACTTTTATCCTAATTTTTTATC